TTTTTTAGTTGATATTTATTGAATAAAGATAAATTTCATAATAAATATAATAAAAATAATATTTTTATTATATTTTATTATATTTTATTATAAAATTTATCAAAATTAAGTTTTTTTTTAACTTGTATTTATTCAATAAATATTAATTAATTCGCAGATTGGTTATGATCAGGTGTGTAACACATAGTAAAATTTTACGCAGATCTACTATTAGAGATACTGAATACGGGTTTTTCATGCCATTAATAGCTACTGCATTCATCAAAGCAATTAGTGATACAAATATGCAGGCCTCTGCAGAAATGGTAAATAAAGATACGTGCACAAGATGGTAGTGATTCTGCTTTTTTTCGCAGCTTTTGCTATGTAAAAAATCAGCATTCTTGCCTTTACTCATATAGTAAAAATTATCAGTATTCAATGATTCAAAATTTTCACAGTCAGTAATATGCCTTTTTTTGGAGAAAGTATAAAAGCTTATAACCATAGCACACTTTATTAGCTTTATTACACCCACACACTATGCTTTTTTCTCCTTTCTGTTGAGCAAACTAGAGTTAATTGAAGTGTTTTTCTGTTATAACTTGACAGCTACTTGTTGAGCTCATGAAGGAGAGCGATTAACCAAACTCACATTCATTGTTTTGTTACCTTGATCAGTATGTTCAACAGTTTTAAGAACTGAGACATGGTGAGAATGGTATTAATTTTGCAGGTGGTTTCCCTTATTATTCATTTTTTATAACTATCGTATCTTCTGCAGAACTTCCAGCTTTACTGATTTCTAATATTTGTTGTGCTTGTTCATTTATAATATCTTTAAAAGCATGAGAAAATCTCTCAATCCAATTTTGGATCGTATTTACTTTTGGAATGTCCTTCTATGTAATCTCACCTGATTCTACAAATCTCATAAGTTCAACTTATATTTCTTTTGCCGATATGTGATCTCAAGGGTTTGAATTTCTGTTTATAAAGAAACTTTGCAACAACACATTTACCTTTTTTGATATATGTTTTCTCTTTCTCTTTCCACCCATTTTCTGATTATGCTTTAGCGCCCATTCTTTTGATAGCAGATATTCTTGATTGATCAGGCTATGATTTTTTTGATTAAAATTCTATATAACACTTCATGAACACGATGAAGAGGCTTACCTCAGGCTGAAAGCAGCGGCATCTTAATTTATATTTTATGAATGTGAGGTTGATATCAAACAATCTTATTTTATTTAGAATCAATTCAAGAAGACACACTGACCTCATGATCTTTTTTTGACCTCTTCAGTAGTTAGTTCCATTATTGATTGATCTCCAATGTCATCTGCTCTTTGAGTATCCTCTAATTAAATTTAAAGCAAGGTAATATTGATATTATTTATGCTATTGTTACTATAAACTACCTTCATAATTAGATCTATCTGACATTCATGGCATTTGCATCTCTCAATCAATGAGATTTTCAGTATGCTCTGAAAAAGAAGATTTCAGTCTAATAATCTCTGTATTACATAAATTTGTCACAGCTGCTGGTAAATAATTCTCCCAACTGCCAATATACGAAAGCAGCTGTGTGCAAATATAACTCACCAATGGTCCCTCAGTAGGCCATTCCCAATAATAATACTTGGAAATTTCTGGTATAGTTTTTACCAATACTTTTTTTTCCGCATTTTCCTCTCCTATTTGGCCATGATCAGGTTCTATATTTGCGAAAGAGATACCGGCAAGGTTTTGACCAGCTTTTATGATATCATTACCCTCTGCGATATCAAACCCAATTCATACATATCATTTAATTATGTGAGTAATCTGGGTAAATGTGGTATTAGTAAAGAAATAACATAATTTAGCTTTATATTTACTTACTGAGGCATGATGTGAATCTATTGTAGTCTTTGCTTTGCCTAGTTCAAGAAACTGCCAATCTAGCACTCGGATATTATACCATTTGAACTAATGACTTATGATAGCCATAAGCTGGAAATTGTGGTAATGAGAACTATTATCAGAAAGTATATGAATCCATTTTGGTTTTTTTCGTATTGTTTCAAATACAGCTTCAAATAATGAAGCTGTAAACCAAGCATCTTGCTTGGTATCCGTATTCCAGTGGTCATAAGCTCTAATAATTAATTTATTTTGACTGGGCTTTTTTATAAACACAAGAATTATATGCAAGGTCCATCCTCGTTTGCCGAAAAATACTTCTTTGGTCTCTCTGGCTGATTGGGGTAATACTCATATTTTATAATCTGCTATGATTACAGCACCATCTTCATCCAACTGATTCAACGCAGCTTTGAATTATGCATTTAGATAAACTTTTCTTGTTTGATATGCAAGAAAATATTGAAGTCTATCTCTGATTTCCGCATACTATGAAAATTCATCTGAGCTGACATAAGATTTCATGAATTCAAATAATTCAAAATGTTCTTGGTACCCTTGACAATATAAGGAATGTGATTCATCATATTCTCCAAAGACATATAACAAATAATGATCGATATAATCATCATGTGATATCATATCATCCGCATTAATTGTCAATTCATTTTCATAAGTTCATTTCATATGTCAGTGTAGCATTTTGATACGTGACAAGATGTCATCCTAAAAATTTAGGTAAGTAAATAGCAATAGTATTAGTTATAAAACACAATATATACTAACCCCAATTTTCTTGTTAGTAAAAATTCTGCGTGCCAGTCCTTTTAAATCTGAGAATGCTTCATAGTCATAATCATTGCATGTTTGACACAAGCCACTCAGATCTTCATGATAATAAATATGTATACTGTTAGTCAATCATCCCATAAATGAAGTTTTTTTCATTCCGTCCGGGTAAATTTTAGAAAATTTTTCTCACAAAGCTTTTTTTTGGTCTTTCATATATAACACAGGCAAATTTGATTTTGAGTCTACTTTGTAAGAACTTATAGTTACATTATTTTTGTCTAGAAAAAAGTCAATGAATTGTGATTCTTTGATTTTAGACATCTTTTGGCGAGTACACTTTGATTTCTCAAGAGGAGGTAATTCAGGACCATATAATCTTGCATATTTTCTTGCAGCATTTACTGTATCTGATCCAATCTAATTTATGGTAAGCATTAGAAGATCATAACATATTATAAAGATCTTGATTTCTTATCTTAAGCCGTTGCTTTAATACTGAATAAGGAAATTTTTCCGTAATAATAGATAAAATTCTGATCTTACCACATGTCTCATCAATATTAGATTTGTAAGCTGACCTAAAACTTTTCCAAAAAGTATCTACTTCTTCCAAGTTGTTAATAATTATTGGTTCAGGTAGCATTACGCATAAAAGATCAGTATTATATAATGTTTCTAAAATATTTTTATCATAATCAGGTATATCTGATTTAGTCCAAAATTTTATGTTTGCTATTTTTTTACTATATGGAGTAATCTCATAATATCCACAGTTTTAAAACATAGCTTGTCAGACAGATAATTCCTTTTTTGATATAGTATAATCCGGTGAGTAGATTTTTTCTAATATTTTTGGGAATTGGACAATATTGCTCTTTTGATTATACTATTCATGAAACAAAGTCTTCCAATCTAACATTTGCATAAGAATTTTTCTTAACTTGATCTGCTCATAAAAAATGTATTCTAATATATTTTCATCACTCCATTCATTTGATATATATACAAATGATTTTTTATGATTCATTGATTGGAACAAGAATTATGTATCAGGATATTTGATACCAAAAAGGGTTTCTCCGTTGTATTTGGTAAGAATTCCTAATTTTTTTCAAACATTGCTAGGTGTTTTGCCTTCAATCAATCTAATACATGTTTCATCTTGATATATATGTAAATAACAAGTGAACTCATTAATTTCTTGTACAATGAGTCATTATTGTTCACTTATCTTCATCATTATTATCGAGATATATCCTGTTCCCGCATTATAGTAATTTTTGAGAGATGAATATCTAATTGAACTAATAACAATTATATGCTTGTCAACTTTGAGAAATAATGGTATAAATGAAATGTTTTTTGTTAATTTCTGAACAAGGTCTTTATTATTGAAACCAAGAATTAAAAGACTGGAGTACTCTGTCTTGACACTAAATATGTTTTGATATAAAGTACTGATTGCAGTTGAAGATGAGCTTTCGACTTTACTAGATTCTGAACCACTAGTACAAATAAAGCCAGGTTTCTGACAATTAGTTTGTTTTACTATTGTCATTATAAACTGTTACTTGTTCAGTTCAAAACTGATACGCATATACAGTTGGTAAGGTATAGTAAAAACCTTGTTTTCAAATTGTCTCTGAACCCACCAATTCCAAGCAAACAAACCATAATGTATTTCAGAAACAACAAGATCTTTGTCAAGGAGATTTACAGAGTATTATTGACTTTGGGCCATGTTATGACAAATGTTAAGAAAGACAAAACATTTGAAAATGAAGAAAAAACTATAATAAGTATAACCATTAAATTTGATTATCATTTGTCGATCATTTGAACCAGATGATATCTGATCTGTAAATTAAAAAGTTTTCTTAAATTATAAATATATTTTTATAGTACTTTAATCAGAATAAGTTTCAGCCTGTCATCTTAACACATGATTTTACAAAATATTACTATGTTAATATGCTTTATAATCTTAGAAAATTTTATTTTTATCATCTTAAAGAATATAATATCAAATTTTCATAAATTTTTAGCAATTTCTTATTAAATTATAGATAAAAAACATATTCACTATTATTCTTTATACTAACTATATCTTTAGTATTAAGATTAGTATATTTTAAATTTTTGATTTAAGTTTCTT